AACTAGCTATGAACATAACAGATTGAAATGGCGAGACACAACAACATAATTCATGAAACTGAGTTGGAAAACAAACACTCATCCACCGATTTCAACTTAATACATTTGTATGAAATCATGAATTAAAAGACAGGCCGCACAATGAATCGTTATGAGTTTTTAGAATGGACTTTGCAGGAAAAACAAGAATGAAAGTTCGTAACAGTGATCATAGTATCTAATCTTATGGCATACATAGAAGCTATACTCTTAGTAAAAGAAAAAAACCATTAATCTATACAACAACATGCTTATATCGTATTATGACCTTAATACAAGACCAAAGCATAACGAAATGATCCCAAAATTACCGCACTGACGCTCGTATTTGGCTGGGACTCACGAACTGCCTCCACAGCTAAGTTCTCGAACCAGAAGAATTCTCGTCCTAGTTGCAATCACCACGCGTCCTTCAAATGAATTCTTAACTTTGCAGGATGGACTGAGGACCACGGCTGTATACAGTCGGTGACGACTTGTTGTTGTGAGAAAGCTTCGGAACTGCGACAATCACCACATTCGAGTCTGAATCGCGGATTCAACGCATTGCTAGACGATGTTGTAGATGGATGTTTCGCAAAACGAATTGGGATCGATTTGTCGCTGAAATCCAAAGGTTACCCTTCGGCGAGGTGTTTTGATGACGGACACCGATGTTGAAATTCATCTCATGGCGATAATGGTGGAGAACGGAGAGGGTAATGATAGCGGATGAACTCGAGGAGTGTTGGTGAGGTTCACTAATGATGAACGAAAGGGAGGGTGGCAGATGAAATTGACAGAGATTTTTTTAGGGTTTTTTCCTAGGGGGTGGCGGTAGCTTTTGAGGCTCTTTAGGGTTTTTCGGAGTTCTGCGAAGATGAACAGTATCCTCCTCCTCTTCATCAGAAATTCACCCCTTTCTTATAGCATGATGACCCAACCCTAACGGGCCTCCTCGTATGGGCCTAATCTGACTTTCTCAACTCTTCTCCTTAAAATTTCTAATATTTTATTTTCATTAATTTATTAACAAATATTTGAAATATAAATATTAACAAATGTATAATTAATAAATATTAACAAAATATAATAATTAAATATAAATTAATATTAACAACTATTTACTAAATATTAACAATAACTATTAAACAAATATTCAAATGTATAAAACAAACTAAAATTTATAAAAAAAAAACAAAAAATGTAATTACTAAAATGTTATTAGTAACACTTAAAAGAAAACAAAGTTTAAGAAAGTAATATTCACAAAATGTCTTTAGGCCACGTGTCATGTCTTTATTGGGAAAAAAAGAATAAACAAAAAAAAGCTCAATTTACGGATGGACACGTGTCTAAACGGCATGGAACAATAAATGCGAAAATATCAACAAAAGAGGTAGGACAAATTTAGGGTATGACAGCGCTAAGGAGTGAGAGACTTGCAAGGTTAACACTCCAACGCTCAAGTTAATATATGAAAAAGAAGAGTGAATGAAATTGTATTTCAAACTTGTTACTTGATTTTGGCGCATTCTCTCTGTATAATAGATCGGGAATAACTAACTTACTATTAGTTAGGAAAGAATTGTGGAGAGTCGTTGAATGTTTTACCGTTGACATCTTTGATGATTACTAGAATGATAATCTTTGCGTATTAGAAAGATTTTGGAAGAAGTGAAATTTTTATCTAATTATTGGCCGAGATCGATATGGTCGGTAGAAATCTATCCAGACCAGTTTGACCGGCCCATAACCTTATTATTAGTATTATTTATTTATGTAATATAATACTCTTATTATTTTGATATTATTATTATTATTATTATTATTATAAAAGGAACAAGATAGCAAACCCTAAAAAGTCAAATTTTCCCTCCTTAATCCTATGTATATAAGTATATATAGGTGTATAATGTACTTATATAAATTGCGTAGATGATATCACAATTGCATGCATAACTTCTTAAAGTAACTCAAATGATAACTTAAATAATTACTTTTATTTTATCTATAAAGAAAAAATTTATATTAATGAAATTCATATTATTTCTAATTAAATTGTTAAATTTTGTTACAAATAAATGTTTATAAGCCAAAAGCTTATATAAATAAATTTGTAATTAATTATAATATTTGTTTATTAATTTGAATTGTAATCTTAATATATATATATAATAATTTAAATAATTTTTACACTTTATTTTTTAAAATTATTTATGAATTTTCAAAGAAAAACAAAACTTTGATATAAAAAAATTATATTAATACATTCTTTTAAAAAATTTTACACAAAGACACTTATTAATAGTAACTCAATAAAATTAAAAAAAAAGTATCGAAACCTTACTTTATTTTTACACTTTATTATTTATTATGTTAAAAATATATATTATTAACTTTTATTAAATAAAAGAAATTAAATTATTTCTATTTTGATATGAAAAAAACAACTAATATAAAAAATTATATTAATATATTCTTTAAAAAAAATTTACACCAAAATACTTATTAATAATAAGTCAATAAAATGTTTAAAGAAAAGGTATTGAAATCTTACTTTATTTTACACTTTATTTTTTATTGTGTTAAAAATATATATTATTACTTTTCATTAAATGAAAGACATTAAATTATTTCTATTTTGATATTAAAAAACAACTAATATAAAATTAATATATTAATATATTTTTTTAAAAAGTTACACCAAAAAAACCTATTAATAATAACTCAATAAAATTTTCAAAGAAAAGGTATTGAAACCTTATTTTATTTTTACACTTTATTTTTTGTTGTGTTAAAAATATTATTACTTTTTATTAAATTATTTCTATTTTAATATGAAAAAATAACTAATATAAAAATTATATTAATATTTTCTTTTAAATTACACTAAATATTATATGATGTTTTTTTTAGTGATACAAACAATTAGATGAACTTTTTGCATATAGAATCAAATGCAAAAGATGAAATCCACGTGCCTTTATGGAACGTTCACTTACAGGTGAATGCCTTTTGTACTATGCAATGTGTCTTCTACTTTCCAGCGTTGTATGATGTATATCTTTTTTTACTTCCTAGAGGACATCATAAAGATCTTCATGGATGATTTCTCTGTCTATGGTTCAATTTTTTAGAATTGTTTAGGGAATTTGGATAGAGTCTTATAAAGGTGTGTCCAAGGTGAATATAATGTTAAATTGGAAAATTTTCATTTCATGGTAAAGGAAGGTGTATTTCTTGGACACATAGTAACCATGCAGTAGGCATTGTACTATAACAAAGGAAGGATAAAAAGATGTATCTCGTCTACTATGCGAGCAGAACCCTGGACGAGGCACAAATGAATTATGCAACCACCGAAAAGGAACTTTTGGTCATAGTCTTTGCTGTTAATAAATTATGTTCTTACTTAGTAGGATGAAAATCGTTGTCTAATAAGACCATGCAGACATTAAGTACCTATTGAGTAAGAAGGATGCAAAGTATAGGTCGATTCAGTGGATTCTATTGCTCCAGGAATTCGATCTAGAGATTAGGGATTAAAAATGGTACAGAGAATGTAGTCGCAGACCATCTGTCTAGACTTACAGATCTAAAAGAGGAAGAGTTTCCCCTGGATGACTCTTTTCTTGATGATAGGTTATCTGCGTTGATACAATGTAAAGTGCCTTGGTATGCTGACTTCGTCAACTACTTTGCAGTTGAAGTCTTGCCTCAAGATATGAATTATCAGTGAAAGAAAAAGTTTTTCTCATATCTGAAACACTATTATTGGGATGAACCTCTACTTTTAAAGAGAGGTGTTGACAGTATCTTTTAATGGTGTGTCTTAGAAGATGAGAAGAAAAATGTAATTACTCATTACCATGATTTTGTCTATGGTGGAAATGCAAGTACATCAAATATTGTTTCTAAAATCCTCTAAGATGGCCTTTATTAGTCTAATCTCTTTAATGGTGTGCATTTCTTCATTACGAAGTGTGACAATATCAGCGCACTTAAAATATTTTGAAAAAAAATGAGATGCTGCTAAATAACGTCCTAGAGGTTGAAATCTTTGATGTGTGGGAAGTTGTTTTCATGAGACATTTTCCTTCCTTTATGGAAAATTATTATATACTCGTTGCATTCAAGTATGTGTCGAAATGGAATAAGGTGATTGTCTCTCCTATAAACGACGCATGAGTTGTCATTAAGTTGTTCAAGAAGATAGTTTTCTCGAAGTTTGGAGTCCTCAAGCTTGTCATAAGCAATGGAGGATCCCACTTCATCCCGAGACAGTTTGAAATTTTGTTGAAGTACGGAGTGAGGTTTAAAGTTGCAACTCCTTATCATCCACACATAAGCGGTCAGGTGGAAGTCTCCATCAGAAAAAAAAATTAATTTGATTTAGTTGTTAGACCATGATTTTAAATTGGGTGTGCGGATGCAGTAAAGGTTGCAGGTGTTGCGATTGCGATCATTACGATGCACATTCTGACCGTTGCGACGTAAATTTTGAATAGAAAAAGTTTGAAATACACCTTTAAGAAAACACTTAATGTTAAGATTTTTCAAAAATAAATAAAATTTTGAGAGTTTAAATTTAGAGTTTTGATGGAAATATTTAAAAAATAAAATCTTTATCTAATATTGTTCCTAGTGAAAAGAACAAAAAGAATGATGGCTATAAATTATGTACGTAGATGTCTTTTTTAGTCCAGATGCATAGCTGTCAAATTGTTTTATTGTATGGATATGAATTTTTGGTCCAGATGCATAGTTGTTTAAGATTCTTTTATAGGAGTTATTCAATTACATTTTGTACAAGTATGACGTATAGCGTGACCGTCTAGGTTCATGATTTGAAATTTAAACAATAGTTTCTATGTTTGGAATGAAAAAGTTGAAACTTTAACCACATCCAAAAAGTACTTTATATACCATCAGATCAAACGCGTTGTTAATAAGCTTTTTATCAAACCACCTCCACAGCCATGGCAGATTCAATTACCACCATTAAAGCTTGGACTTACTCCGAATACGGCAACACCGTTGATGTTTTAAAATTTGATCCAAACGTGGCTTTACCTGACGTGAAAGATGATCAAGTTCTCATCAAAGTTGCAGCTGCTTCTCTTAATCCCGTTGATTATAAGAGATTGAATGGCGCCTTCAAAGCCTCCGACTCTCCTTTACCGACTGCTCCGGGGTATGATGTATCCGGAGTTGTGGTTAAGGTAGGGAGTGAAGTGAAGAAATTTAAGGTCGGAGATGAAGTTTATGGTGATATCAATGCGAAAGCTTTGGAATATCCAAAGGTGATTGGTTCACTGGCTGAGTATACTACTGCAGAAGAGACAGTGTTGGCTCATAAGCCGGAAAATTTGAGCTTTGCTGAAGCTGCTAGTCTTCCTTTAGCAATTGAGACTGCTTATGAAGGCCTTGAACGAGCCGGCTTATCTGCTGGTAAATCTATACTTGTTCTTGGTGGTGCTGGTGGAGTTGGAACTCATGTCATTCAGGTAACGCTTTATTCCTGATACATGTATGAACCAGATCTAGAATAACATCTAATAATGTGTTTTTGGAATGTGCTTAGCTTGCCAAGCATGTTTTTGGCGCGTCGAAAGTAGCAGCTACATCTAGCACGAAGAAAGTAGAATTGTTGAGCAAGTTAGGAGCTGATTTGCCGATTGATTATACAAAGGAGAATTTTGAAGAGTTGTCTGAGAAGTTTGATGTGGTGTTTGATACAGTAGGGGAAACTGAGAAGGCATTCAAGGCTGTGAAAGAAGGTGGGAAAGTTGTGACAATTGTACCACCAGGAATTCCACCAGCAATAGTGTTCATACTTACTTCTAATGGGGCTATTTTAGAGAAACTAAAACCTTATTTGGAGAGTGGAAAGGTGAAGCCAGTGCTTGATCCCAGGAGTCCATTTCCATTTTCTCAAGCTGTTGAAGCATTTTCGTATCTGGAAACTGGTAGAGTTACTGGAAAAGTAGTTATTCATCCCATACCATGAAGTTCAAAACAATCTTTGGAATTTCAACTGTGTGTCTGTTTGTATTTCTGTATCATCTCTTACTAGTAATTAAATTGATGTGAGAACTTGAAAATGGGTTAGTCTTGTTTGGATTTGGCTTCTCTAGTTTTGATTAATGGAATAATAATGTGTTTACAAGTTTGCTTCATAGTTTATATTGGGAGCAACATTTCTTAAAATTCACAACTGTTTATGGTTGTGTATTTTCAAGACAACATATATTTATTGTCTCAAATCAATTTCAACTACTTTGACCTTTTTCATACCTCATGTATTTATTTTCATAACTCAATTAAAAGACTAACTACAATTATATAGGGAAAAAAAGACTAATTTTATTTTCAACTTAATTATTTAAAAATTATAATATCTAATTCCAAAGTTATATTTCTTCATGGTTAAAATTAAGAAATAATAATTTGGTCATTAAAAGTCAGCTAAATTAAATATTGTCTTTTTTAATCTTTTACCCAATTATTCAATATTTATTTTGGTCATTTGTTGTATGTGTAACAAGTTTTTACATTTTGTAGATTCTTGCCCCCTTCGTGATAGTTTTCTTTTTCCACAAACTAACACTTTAATGACAGTTTTATGGCCCTTACATTTTAGTTTCATCACAGATACTACAATGTCCGAGTGTCGTGACACTCACTACAATGGTGGTGGTTGAATCACTTGCTTTGTCTTTGTTGCATCTTTTTGTCTCGCATTTCATCTTTGCATACAATGTTTGCATAACTTTTGACTTGTTTAAGTCAACTTCTTCTCTTTTTTCATTTCATCTGTGATTGAATTATTTATTGTTTACTTGGTCTTTCGCCATGATCCCTTAGGATTTCTAGTCCCTCTATTTAAGATGGGAGTAGAAGAGATATTAGGTGTTCAATCATTTGCATGATAACATTAGGATATATTTCCCTTTTCAATCCCAACATTAGGATCATTTTACATGATAACACTAGAGTTTGCTCTAAAAATATTCTACAAAAAAATCTTATCATTTTTTCAAAGAAAACAGCTAGAAAGTCATGGCACCAGAGAGTACCTCCTGCATAGACGTCGGTGACATCAAACGAACTGGTTTGTATCTTAATTGTTGTGTGATAGAAAAACTATATAAATCAATTAGTCCATTAATATTTCTTCTTTCTTTCCTTCTCATTGTGACCTTATGAAGGAACACTGCAAGTGCACACATAGTGACAACTGCAATAGGATCTGGAGTGCTGTCATTGGCATGGGCTGTTGCTCAGTTGGGATGGATTGGAGGGACTGCTGCTCTCATAACCTTTTCCCTCATCACTCTCCTCACTTCCTTTCTCATGGCTGATTGTTATAGGTATCCTGATCCTGTTCATGGGAAAAGAAACCCCACCTACATGACCATGGCCTTGAGAATCAAGAGTTATTGATCACGTTTTTATATTAAAAAGTTTAGATTTTGTTATCAGCACTACCCATAGTTTTTACATGTGCATTCATCATTGACTACTTACCAAAAGTTTATCAAAAGTACTTGCAGATTATCAAAAGTTTAGAATTAATGTTTATTAAGATGAAAATTTGATAATCTGCAAGTACTTGACTACTTACCCATGTGAAGCAACAATAGGAAGATCCTTATCAGCAACCTCTGCAAATGAATTTCATCCTCATATTAGCTTTGTAAACTATATATTATGCTAAAGTTCTCAAAATTCAGCTTATTGAATAAAAAGTTTATCGTTACCAAGTGCCACAAATATCTCAATTTTTTTTCATAATACAGTAATCCAAGTATCACAAGAACCCTAAATCCTAAATCACTGTCACTAAAGGTAAATTCAAAAGAAAAATCATAAATAAAACACACACACTCTAAACCCTAACTATCGTTAGATAGAGAGCGAGAGGAGAAACGACAATGGAGAATCGAGATCGAGAACAGTGATGAAGAATCGAGAATGGAGAACTGCGATGCCGAATCAAGACAGGAACAAATGAGGCGGGTGGAGAATGGAACGAAGATGGTGGATCCGAACAGAAGCGTGATGAGTGACTCACAATAGCTCAATTTTCTTGTAGTGCTTCATCTTTTCAACTACAATTATTTCAACTTCATTCACATTATATTTTTTCACCTTTATTTTATCTTCATCTTTTTCAACCACCACCATTACAAATTTATTAGCATTATATCCTTTCTTTTTTCACCTCTTTAATGTTACGAGTGCACTTCAAGTTGAGGTAATGAAACGCCTTAAAATAGAATTTTGGAGATTTAAAGTAAAATAGAATTTTGGAGATTTAAAAGGTTTACTTTAGGATATACTCTAACAAAAAAAAATATAGAAGAGGATTTAAATGGATACGTAGGAAATATAATAAGAGATTTTGATAGCATGCATGGAGATATGGTTTACGGGAGCTCAACCTGGAGGAAGAATTCATCTTGAAGTTTTCGTCAGCTTTAGGATTTTATTATAATAAATACTTAATTTAGGTTAATAGATGAGTATTTTGTCACATATAAAAGTGGAGTGACATGTTCTTAGATTAATTTATTTCTTATTAGAAAGTTAGATAGTAAGGTTTGCTTGAGCTATAAAGTCATTTCATGAGAAAGCTTGACTGCACAACATAAATCATTGGTCATGGATGTAAGAATCAGACGTAGAGCAGAGATAAGAAGTCACATGGGAGCGTCACGGATCAATCAATAGCATTTAAAGGGTGAAAAGCAAATAAGTTTCCAACACAAGATCTTGAAGGGAGAGTTTGGATAACCATATGCAAATTATATAGGGAATAAAATGGCCAAAGATATTAAAAAAGTGACTAAAGACATGTTTAGAGAATCAAGAGGTTTTGGACCTATAGGTATAGAGTCGTTGTGGTGGAATAAAAATGTTTAGAGTAAAGTTATAGTGAAAAAGGATTGTTATAAAGAATTATCTAAGTGTAAAAATACCAAAAACTTGGAAACAATATAAAAAAGTTAAGAATGAGACAAAGAAGGCGGTGAATGTGAAGGTGAGAAAAATACACAAGAAGGGGGGTTGAATTGGGTTTGGCATAAGTTAGACTTACTTCTGAACCAGAGTTCAGATTCTAAAAACTGAGTTCAGAATATGATAAGGTGCAGCGGAAATAGAGACAGAAGTAAAGTAAAAATAGTAAAGAACACATGGTAGTTATCTTGATTCCTCTCCCAACGAGAGTACTTCGGTCTCTTTGTCAAGCAAGAGATTTTCCACTAAAATCAATCATATTACACTTGCTTATACACACTTGTATAAGACTTTTCTTTTTACCCATACCACTTGTCCAAGACTTTCCTTGCTTAGAGCTTGTATCTAAGACTTCACTATGCTCAATCAGCTTTTAACCGAGACTTCTCTTGCTTAGACCGCCTGCCTAAGACTTCACCTTACTTAGAGCTCGTGTCTAAGACTTTACCTTGCTTAACCAACCTCTGATTAAGACTTTTCCTTACTTAGAGCTCGTGTCTAAGATTTTTACCTTGTTTAGAGCTCGTGTCTAAGACTTTACGTTGCTCAAGCCTACAGCAAGAAACTTTAATCTAAATAGATATTTTAGAGAATGAATAACTTACAAAGACACTTAATAAAATATCAAAGGTATTCAAATAATACAACACAATATTACAATGATTCTTAATCAACACAAGAGTAAGAACTCTTAATAGACTCATCTTTCTGAAAGTAGTGCATGTATTTTTTAGTTGTATTTGCAGCGTTATTTCTTAGTGATCTTCAAATCTTCAGCTCCTTTTTATAGTCAAGGAAAATAAAGATGTTGGAGATCTCCAACAGCTACAAACAGAACCAAATCTTCTAGTACATCTTCTTTTCTAATGAAGCAAGTGTTTGAACTTTCAGTCACAAGAGAGTCCGTAAAACAAGGCCTTTGTCCAAAGGATACAACTTTGATTTAAGTACAACACAACCTGTAGAAGATAATGTCAATAAATCTTGAGTCCCGTGTTAGCAGAACTGACATGACATTACTCAGCATCAAATGTAACATAGCACGCTTCTGAGCTAGAGTGTACTAGCAATAGCTTTTCTGATCAGACGTCTTTAAAAGAGTGTGACCAGAACTGAACCAAAGTATTTTTAGTGTCAGAACTAGTTCCATCAAGTAAATATAATGCTGCACACACAAACTAGCTAGTTAGAGATCTTAATTGTTTTTTCAAATACTTTTTATCATCAAAACCTTGGAGGATTCATGGCATGGACCAAACTTGTTTCAACAATCTCCCCTTTTTTTATGATGACAACATTAAGTATTTTAAAAATAATCAGAAGTAAAAAAAATTACTCAGCAACTTTCAAGGTCTGAGGTTTGTAAGCTCCCCCTGAGTCAAATAGTCTAAGAGATGAGGTTTGTAAGCTCTCTCTGAATCTTGTATGTAAAGTCTAAGAGTTGAGGTTTGTAAGTTGTAACACCCCCTTTCTATACCCCCAAATAATCAAATAAATCATTTAAGCACGTATTAAAATTTTCATCAGAGTATAATTCAAAACACGGTAAAAATAAATGGGCATGTTCACATTATGCTTGAAATTAAAACACATACAACATATGCTCATAAGATATGCAACAGTGGGGTAACTACAGCATAGGAACTTACTCCTTACACCCACATCTCAACATTTAGAATAAAAGCGGAACATCTAAACATTGAATAATGTCAAAACATATAATCATATATATATGTCATCCAGTTTGATTCACAACATAATTCAACATGTTTTCATAAGCAAACATCAGCAGATACATATACAACGTATCACAAAAGAGTTTTATACATCCTAGCTACCCGGTGCTACATATCAGAGTCGACTGACCAAAAAGAATGAAGCTATACTTCACAAAAGACCTCCAGCAAACCTAATCTGCAATGCCTCATAGAGCATCATAAAACAGTAGAAGGATGAGAAATATTATCATAATAATCAATGCATATA